GTGTTCAGTTCTTAGTGTTGTCATGTCAGAGTCTCTAAGTGGCTTTTGTCTGGATTTAAACAGACAGATGACATTTAATTAAAGGCCTGAGATATCTACAATATCATAAATATCATGTAGTTGTACTAAACCATAATAGGTTTGCTGTTTCCTGCCATTAGAAGTGGGCTATCATGTAGTTTCTTGTGTTTTTCTTCTTTATACAAGAATAAAGCAATTTTTTGTGATTTAACAAATCAAAGTGTCAGGAAGCAATCATTGGACGTACATCTGTAACTCATTTACCACTGCAGGTACCAGATTCAAGATGGCCGCCACAGCTAACCAAGCTTAGAAAACACAGAAACAACTAGAATTCTGTCAGTTGGAAACGTTGAGCTAAAACCTGATGTTGGAGCAGCTGAAAGTCATAAGTGTTGTGAATATTAACAGATCACATAAAGTTTGTTTAAAAAGGTTAAAACTCTGACATTTCTCTGAAGAGGATCTGATTTTAAAACTGACATTTAAATGGTCAAATGTATGAATCACATTAGTATCAATTATATTTGAAAAGTTTGATGATGGTTTAGTTTCAAATCACTGTAATGTGATGTGTAACATACTAATATGTGTTATAAACTCTACATGAAAGTTCTTTCTGTTGGATTTGTTTAGTAGAACTGGTGAATTTCTGATTCTGACTGAAGGTTTTTGTAAATGAATTCAATCACACAGGTTGAAATGTTTGAAGGAAAACATGTTTGCTGCCTTGTAAAGCTTTTAAAGACAGATTTAGTGTGATGTGTCAGAGCTCAGAGTGTTTGTTCAGGACAACTTTCAGCTACAACCACAACAAATCTCCCTGTTAGACTGTTTGGAGTTTGCTAACAGAAATGAACTGTGGTGGTCTTCTTATGAGGTCAACTCCATCAGATAGTTGCAGCTTCAGCTTCGATCAGTTTCTGTGACTGAAAGCTTCAGTGGTTCAGAAAATATTTTACTAACACACCTATAAAAGCAATGTGAAGATTGAAGAGGTTAATAGAGGCAGGTAATAATTACTGCTTAAAATATAATGTAGTCACATCATGGCTGTGTGTGTGTACTTGTTTTTGTTACCTATTTATGACTGTTTCTGGTATACACACCTACCTTGTTAAGACCAGTAGTCCTAATGGGGATCAAAGGGCCAGTCCTAATATGGTGGAACTCTATTTTTGAGTTAAGGGTTGGGTTTAGGACCAAGGTGTGAATTGAGTTTAGGTTAGTTTTAGGGTCAGGTACCTGTGAGGTTAGTTTAGGGTCAGGTAGGTACCTGTGAGGTTAGTTTTAGGGTCAGGTACCTGTGAGGTTAAGGTTAGTGTTGGTGGTCATGGTTAGGATGTAGAAAATAATGGAAGTCAATGCCAGGTCCCCATAAAGATAGCTGTACCAGAATGTGTGTGTGTGTGTGTGTGTGTGTGTGTGTGTG